AGTGTTCACATTCTTCTCTGGTTATTTTAGACTTTTTTAGATTTCTGTTATTTTGTGCCATGTGAAGCCACGAGACAGACAGCAAACAGAGGACCTAGTGGGGGATTGTTTTCTCACAAGACAGAAGTTGCTAAATCATTTTTGACAGCTTCTGCAAGAAAAAAAAAAAAAGCTGACACTAAGAGACGGTGATGCAGAAATATTTATACTAATTTCTATCATAATACAGAAATGATCAATTGACAGTAAATTAATCTGTCGTGGTCATTATTTAATTCATTCGTTACAATAAATTAATTTTTAGAGTGAACATTTAATCAATTAACTGATGAAATGTGATATTTTGATCAATAATGCTTCATAAAAGGATGTTGACAGGTTCGATAATCACACTCACCTGGAGCTGTTGGATCTCCTGACTGTGTTTGTTTCTCTGTTGGGATGCGCTCTTCTCCAGATGCAGCCTGACATCCTGAGCTGAGGCGATCTCCTTCTCCAGGGCTCGGAGCCTCAGCTGGCTTTCACTCTTCTCCTGGCCCACTTGGGTCAAACGGCCTCTGGCCTGGTTGAGCGACTCCTCTAGCTGAGCTAACTGGCCCTGATAGGCCTCTGCTGCCTCCTGCCATGCTCTGTTGGCCCTCTGGGAGTACTCCTGCCCCAGCTCTAGGAGGTTCGGTGCCTGGTTGCCCCTCTGAGCCCGTGTGGGTGGCACTGCGGCTCTGGAATGGGTCAATGTGGCCTCCAAGTGGGCCACGTCCTCCTGATGGGTTTGAATTAGGAGCCTCATCTCATGCTCCAGATGACTGACCTTCTCTCTCAGCCAGATCTGTGCTCTCTGTTCCTCCTCCAGCACCTTCCTGCTTTGCTCCGCCATTGTCTTGGCCTTGACGTGGGCTTGAGCCTCCCTCTGTCTCTGCAGGTCCAGGGCTTGCAACTCCTGGTTCAGCCGGCCGACCTCCAGCTCTGTGTGGACCCTGTCCATCCAGGCTGCATCCAACTCCAGCCTTGTTTGCCGCAGCTCTTCCTCTAAGCCCTTCCTGCGTGTCGAAGCTCCGTGACCGCTGCGTCTCAGAGCTTGGATCTCCTGCCCGAGCAGCAAGTTTTCCTCCTCCAGGAGTTTGACCCGATTCAGATAGGTCTCCAGGCGTCGGTTCAAGTTCAGCATCTGGTGCTTCTCCTCACCCAGGTGGCTGTGGTGGAAGGTTTTATGCACACTGTGGAGCTCCATGTCTGAGAGGTTTGGTAAACCGAGGCCTCGCTCAGAGGTGTGCTGATTATGATTTGGCAGCCAAGTGTATCTCCCAGTCCAGGCCTGAGTCGGGGTGTGTGTGGGTGGGGGAGTTTTTTCGTGAGTGTGAGGCTCCTGTGAGGATCTGGTACTGTGACTGCCAGCAATAGGCTTCCCTTTCATACTGGAGTTAATGAAGGGGCTGGACACATGGACAGCAGGGGAGGAGGGATGCAGAGGGAGGAGACTGAAGCCCGGAGAGGGAGGAGAGAGGGGATGAGAAGGGATGGAGAGGGAGGCAGCCGGATGAGGGAGAGATGAGATGAGACGAGACGGAGGGGTGGAGTAGGAGGGCTGAAAGAGATGGGAAAGGGCAGAGGGAGGGAGTGATGTAATCTCCAAGGTTAACTCTTTCACCACTGGCACTTTTTCCAGTTTAGTCAGAGGGAGAAGGATTTTACATCTCTGACAGGAAGCCCAGGAGGAAAGACACGAGAGTAGCACCCACACAGTTGATGTATTTATATCTATATTTATAGATAACAGTGGGTAAGTTAAAGACAACAGTTATTAGAACTCAGTTGTATGACAAACTGGAAACCAGTGCAAAAATTTGTGAACTGGTGTCTTAGTTTGGCCTCCGGCTACAGCGTTCTGAATGAAAGGAAGGTATTTAGGGGAAGTAAAGTGATATTAATATAAACACAACAATGATAGTGAAAATAAGGACAAGTGATAATAACCCTTCAGATTGATAACTCACCAACTTAACAGTTACTCAACAGTTTACAACATCCTTTTGTTGAAAGTAATGTCAGCTGCAGAAAAACTAAAGCATCAGAATCTTAATTTTATCTAGTGAAAATAATGGAATAAAATCACACTGAAATTCAGCAAAGTGGCCTCCTACTGAAAAGTGACAAAGACAAAGAATTAAAACGCTGAATTCGGGTTAAAACATTACAATCATATGATATGAAATTTCAGCTCGACACGGACGTGCTCTCATAATGTGGCAAAAACCATTTTCCTCTGACTTGTGGTTTTTGGAAAAACAGTAACTTTAGTTGTTACATGTAAGACATGAAGACTGGGACAACTGTATATGACAATCACGAGCTGTGTGTCAAGCTGCACTCAGAATTTCCCTCTAAATGAATCCCTCAGAGTTTCACCTGTGCTCTGCTTCATATTTGGAAACTGCATGTAGGAGAGTTGGTTAATGATTAGACCGAATAATGCAAAGTGTGATTCTATAAACATGTCAACACCGAAAACCTCAAGAAACAGTAACTGCAGAGTGGAGGGAATGAACGACACAAATCTTACTCACAATAATAAAAAAACAAAACAAAACATATATTTTATAAGTTTTGCACTGTAAGTATGGGTACACTGTGATGCCAGGGAGAGCTATACTTTTGACTTCCCCATCTCCACCTAGTGGACATCTCACAACACTGCAGCAGCTTGCCATTACCCAGTATTACCCAGTACCCATCTCTCACTGCATCCTACCCTAAAGACATACATACATGTGACAGAGGAAAGGTGTAATGAACTCTACAAGAGGTATCAAATAACTTAGAAGAAGAAGAAATTTCCTTTATTGTTCGAAATTTGACCTCCACGTTCATATCAGTCTCACGGAAACCTAGGGCTTGTAAAGGATGTCCTACAACCAGACAGATATGAGGCCGCCTAATCTGCCATAATGAGAAATATTTAAGAAGCTCAAGTACTTTTGAGGAAAGCTTTCCCCAGAGGCCTCAATGAAATCGACAAGATTTAAAACTTTCCTCTGCCTCTGATAAAGAGGCACTACATGGAGAAGCAATATAAAAGCTCTTATGAAGATCTGTTTTTATTACTTGTGCATCTATTTATTTATTTATTTATTTTTTTAAGTGTCCCATGTTGCTCTGAAGGTTTCACAGGCCCGTGACACCAAGAATTTATTTGTGGAAAAACAAACTTCTGCTTAGCGTTTAGAAGAACACTGAATAATACTAAATATAAAAAAAATATAATCTTGTAGTATAAAAAATACTGGCTGCAGCTTTACAAAAACATGCACCAGTCCAACCAGAAATATTCATTCGCTGTACATTAACAACCCTATCAGTGTACAGATATCTGCTTCACCAGCTGAATCTGCTCTTGTGTCATTCAAACCAAACTCAAAACAAAATATTCACACTGCCACAGTTTATTATGCAAATTCTTTAACCTAGTGCAGATCTTCAGCAGCTCACAAATAGAGGAAGTTAAAATTAGAGGTATGATATTATGATATTTGCAGTTGATATGATCAAAACATAAGCATTTGATACCTGAGCCACGACTATCACATCTTGAAACTTTCACACTTTTCTATACAGCTTCCATGTCATGATATGGATTCCTCCGTCGGTGGGTTTGAGTCTGGATATACCTTTTGATCCATGTATTGTGAAGGAGATGAAATCTTGTATTTTACCGGAGGGACTGACCAACATAACCAGAGGACAAACAGGAGAATGTGAAAAGGAGTGGAAACCTCTTTTTGGAGCTCTTTGAATATCAAGGTGGACGGCCATTGTGAGGTTGCTGCGTGTTGCTGCGTGTTGCACCATTGTTGTTTCCCGTTTCCTTCTCTTTTTTTTCTCGACTGATGTGTTTCTGCTTCGTCACATGAAGTGAAAATGCGGTGTTGGGTTTCTTGTCCTTTGATCATGAAAATTACATGTTTCATTGTTTAATTTAGACACTGTTCCAAACTCTCAAAATAGGACCAAGGGGGCGCGAGTGAAAAAAAGAAGGGGCCCCAGAATCAAACCCTGCGGGACACTGCAGGGAAGAGGCACGGAAGAGGACACAAAAACTTCTTTCAGCCAGGTAGGTACCTAAACCAATCCAGTGCTACACTATTGCTGCCCACCCAGTGCTCCAGACAAGAGATGAGAACATTGTGGTCCACTGTGTCAAAGGCAGCAGTTAAGTCTAAAAGCACAATGATTACATTTTAGAAAGGAACGGGAGCTTGGAAATAGGCCTGAAATTAGAGAGAGCTGAGGGGTATAGACCAGGTTTTTTAATCAGTGGCTGCACTATAGCATGTTTAAAATTTTCAGGTACCACACTAAAAGGTCAGACTGCTTCATAATAGCAAGGAGTACCTGAGGGTTTCATACGACCCATGATCTCTATCTAAAAAAGAGAGGGACACAGGCTCAAACTGGTTAAAGACAGCAGAGCAGGGGACAGAGATGGACGGGTCACAAGTTGGGGGTGAGATGAGAGCTCTATAGTGGTTGCCATCTTCAGAGGAGGCTTCCACAGATACAGACTGGGGGGCATTAAGAATAGAGTTAATGGTTAGATAAAAATAATATCAGAAAAATGTTTTGTCTTAGCAGCTACTGCAGTTTTCTGGTAACGACGCCAGCTATCTTTCAACATGTTAAAAGCCACCCGCAGCTGGTCCTTTGCTCTTTTTTGTTTGGTTATGGTGCATGAATTGAGATTCCTGATATGGCACAAAGCAGACATCCAAAGTCCTTTTCCTGCATGTGCACTGTTTGCAATATTGTCCTTTAATAGAAAATTATCTTTTCATTATACAAGAAAGCACTGTACACGGTTTGAAGGGCTGCAATCAGTCAGCCGTGGATGCAAATGACTTTCTCAACCAAAAGCAGAAGTTGTTCATTTTAAGGGTGTGAGTAACAGATTCAGCTGAACAGGGGAAGCAAACACTTCTCATATTAGAATGGTCTGTGGTTCAATTACAGTAGCCCTTCTCTGTCTTCAAGTCAGACAGAGCTTACGAGAACAACTGCGGTGATGTCGGAAGAGGAGATTAACTATGCTTCAGTTGTATTCAAACCCAAAAATAAACCCCCACCTGAAGGTAAGTTTAGTTGTTTGTTTTTTTTTACTGATCAGAGAGTTAAATCCAAGCAAGTAAGTAAGTGGACAAAAATAAGCTGAGGTGTCCAGAAAAAATGTTCACTAAAAAATAAAAAAGAAAACTGATACAACTAAAATCTAGACACACAATGTTTAACTGTTAATGACTTTACTTCTACTAATTGTAATCCATTGGAATAGCCCATTCAGATTTAATTTCAGTGATTTCCTGAACACTTCAAAGTGTAATATGATAATGGAATTAGGGTCCTACCTGATGAGTAATATTACATTGTGTAGAGGATTAAAGACGTATATGAAATTGTTGTATTGAAGTGAAAGTGTAAACTCAGCTTTTTGCTTAGTGTTGTCTATTTATGCCACCCACGCTGGAGATTCCAGACTGACCACAGCTGCCTAAAACCACAGGAGAGTATACAAAGAAACTGTAATAGAAGCAGAAGAATTTCATCATCTTAGGTTTTAGCTAATCGTTTTAATGCCCTGCAAGAGTCTAAAGAATACAACTCCGTGGAGAGCTCACACACTGAATGACTTGTCATTCTACAAGATACTGAAATTTGGGACAAACACAATCATCAACCTCAAGGCAAAAAAAGCTCATTTCAAATAATGGAAAATTTTAATTTCAAGACTGCACAGTAATTGACTGTTCCTCAACCTTTCAGCTAAAGATGAGGAGGAAACTGTGTACGATGAAGTGAAGGTGCACAGCCAAACCTCCGAGCAAACTGCAGACACAAATGGTAAGTTGAACAAAAAAAGACTATGTGCTCAACATTCAGGTATTACTGCAACTAGGAATATTTCTTATAATGCCGCTAGTACTAGCACTATTACAACTTTTACCATTTCAAATGACCATTTTTACTACAGATAAGAGAGAACTAGTTTCAGGATGATTACTACTCAGTGTGTAAAAACAGCGCTTTGTCTATAACCCTGATGTTGTCATCTGGGGAATCTCAGTTCGAGTTTGAAGACTGAAAATTTATAACAAAGCCTTAATCTAACTCATGGAGTTTAACCCATATTAGAACTTTTTTTTTGTTTTTAAACAAGTCTTTCCCAAGGCAGAGGCTTGGATTATCTGTAACTAATGGCCTTTATGGATTTTTGGATTGTCCGCCAGTCCGACTAGCTGGCAACGCGGAGTAGCCCGGCTGTTCACGCTAAAAGCGCATTTCTCTGCGTCAGAACCATGATCTATCCAAGCAAAATTATTGCAATCCTTTCCTATAAATGACCTTTACTTTTACCTTCACTACCCCTAAATTTTTTAAATTGTATTTGTCTCCGCAGGACTCATGCCAGACAAGAAAGGAAAAAACAGTCGTAGCCCCTGTCAGCTGGTGGCTTGTTGTTTGAGCATTCTCTGTGTCATTTTGATAATAGGCATCATAGTAGTCTGCATTTACTGTAAGTATACAAAACAGGCCATCCATGTATGAACTTAGACATGAGACAGTCCCTGAAGAAAAATAGTCTGTTTTAGTTTAAGTTTCTGGCTCTAATTGTTTTTATGAATCTCTTAATTAATGTAGAAATATATCCCATGTTAAGACCTATACCAACACTGAATTGATCCGAATAACAAGTATTGTCTGTACTGTGTGTATGCGTGTATATATATATATATATATATATACATACTAAAGAGCTCCAGTGTTATTAAGAACACATCTTTGAGGCACACTGCTACACTGGGCGACATATTCTTTCATAACAATGGCCACCGTAGTTTAAGAATCAATAACAAATACACTGTGCACCTGTTAGCTCGCTAACACAACCATATCTACAGCGGAAAAATTTCACAACAAATTCTATTACCCACTGTTTTCAGTGATGTTTACTTAAAAGCTAAAGTGGGAAAATTCAAAGATTTGCATCTTCAGCGGGAACCAATGGGCTTTGAGAGAAGCAGGGAGTCTAAAGTATAGAGAGAAGGACATACAGATAATTGGTTTTAATCTTTTCATGGGTTTTGTTGATCTTATCAATTTTAGTAAACACAATGAAGAACAGACAGGAACAATCTTCTGAGAGTATCACTGTGATATACCAAAAAAAATGTCAATATTGTGATCACTTGAGCTAATCTTTATTTTACAGTTGTTTCACCCAGTCAGGACAGACAGCTGGACCAGTTAAAACACAACCAAACAACTCTACTAGCTGAAAATGACAACCTGACAAAACGCAATACTGAACTAATTTCCGACAATGAAAACTTGAGGCGAAACAACGACAATCTCACAGTCCAGTTAAGCAACCTAAAAATAATGTATAATGTCTCGGAAAGCAAGCTCAAAAACCTGACTGAAGAAAACCAGAACCTGAAAACACGAAACCAGGAGCTGGAGACACGAAACCAGGAGCTGGAGACACAGAGGAACAACTTAACACAACAAATAGAGAAGAAGGAGACAGAGTGGAATGAGCTCAACGTCACTCGAGCTCAGTGGACCATTGATGCCTACTGCAGCATAGAAGAAAACCGTATGTTCAGATCACTTTAATTAGTGACCAAATATAATATGATCACTATGCAGTAATGTTGCTAATTAGTTTGTCTCTTTCTGTTTTTACAGAAAGACATTGTAACGCTTGTCAGGATGGATGGCTAAACAACACGTCCAGCTGCTATGCCATTAATAACCCTGGTCTTAATGAACAGAAAAACTGGAGAGAAGCTCGAGAAAACTGCAGAGGAAAGGGTTCAGATTTGGTTGTTATAGTTGATGAAAAAGAAAAGGTAAAGAGAAAACTGTGGAAACATTAATGACAGCCTATATGAAGTTCAATCACAGTGTACTTGTAGTATTTAAATATCTCTGATAACTGTCTCTCCATTGTCCTCAGAAATACGTCAGTGATCACAGCTGGGAAAGTTCTGGAACCAGTGGATACTGGATTGGCCTGAGAGTTGAAGATGGGAGATGGAAGTGGGTCGATGGAAGTGATCTAACTGAAGAGTAAGAGACACAATTCTGAACAATTTGAATAATGAAATCTATCAGCCTTGATCTAACCGTCATGCTTTTCCCTCAGATCCTGGAAAAAACCTCCTGAGAAAGATCACTGTGCAATTTCTGTCAAAGACAGAGGATGGAAATCAGTGAACTGTAGTGAGAGAAACCGATGGATCTGTGAAAAGGCAGCTTTATCTGTTTAAACACTGCAGTTAAACTTGAGAAGGTCACTGTCTGTAAAGATTAATCACATGTCAGATAAAATCAACTTGTTTATAAATATCAAATATGAAAACTTCTTCAATTTTTATTTCTAAAATAATATTTTATTTTTCTCAGGAAATTTTTCCAAAGATGTTTGTGTGTGTGTGTGTGTGTGTGTGTGTGTGTGTGTGTGTGTCTGTGTCACAGACACTCACATGATGTAATGTATATGTGCAGTCAGATATTAGATCATATAGGTGCAGTAAAAGAGCAGTAAACTGTTGATCATCAATGACTTTGAATGTGTTTTTCTTCTACGTTGTTAGAGATGCAATGCTTACCATTTGTATATTAGCAGATTGACGAAAGGGACCAACAAGACTGCTTCAGTTTTCAATCTCCTGTATGTAACATTTTGCAGTGTTGCTGCTGATTGGCCACCAGAGGGAGCTGTATTACCTCTCCACTAAATGTTACTGGGCTGTGCTCATGAGTGTTTGTGTTCTGATGCAAAGAATAAGTTTATGTAGACAGATGAGTAGAAGCAAATTAATGTAGTCGATTACAGTGAATAAAAATGCTGCCACACAATGTCGTTACTGACTTTTTCTTGCAAATTGCTCCTTGGAAACGTCAGTCAGCTTTAATCAAGTCAGGAAGAACAAGGTTAATATTATAGGATGTTGTAACATATTTAATCAAGATGAGTTACAGGCAGGTCTGGTCTCAGTCTGTTGCTATGTCCTTTTAGACCTCAGTCTTCATTCACACAGCCAACGTCAGCACCAACAGACCTCCAGAGAGGGACAGGAAATCTCACAAAGGAAGTTTTTTGGTGGTTTGACATAAAGGGCTGATCATGTTGAAATCCGTTGAGGTGTTGTCTCTCAACAATTGATTTCTTCATCATCATTATTGCTTAAGAATACCTGATAACTGCAGCAGCGTGAGAGAATCTGTCAGAGACAGTCTGGACTGAATCAATTAAAGGAGAATACTTCCCATCACAACTTCACATTAGCTGCTAAACAAAGACAAACTCACAAAAAACAGAGCTAACACCCACCTACTTGTCTGAGAGGTTTATAATTGGTAGACTTCACACCTTTTTTACTTGTCTTTCAGTCTTCATAGAGGATTACTGGTGAACTTCGTGCTTTGTGCACGATGAACAGAAACAGCCAGCAGCAGACTGTCGCTTTCAAAAATCCAAATCCTTCTTTGTCTGCAGGTAAGATGTTTTCTAATAGAATAAAACTTCACAAGCTTCTCATCTTTTGTGCTGCAGCATCTTGTCTTATTGTTTCCTAAATATTCATAAGTGTGTCAGCTCTGCCACAGTGATGCTAAACTGTGTAGCTCGCTAATCTCAACAACAAACTATAGTAGGTAGCTACTGATCAGAACTTTATTCATGTGATATGTTGATGTATGTAAATATGTTCTGAGTCTAACTATCTATCTATCTATCTATCTATCTATCTATCTATCTATCTATCTATCTATCTATCTATCTATCTATTATCCATACTGTTTGATTCTTTTGAAGCATGACAACACACTGGCAACAAATGCATTTCAACAGCTGAAAATTCATGTTCACATTCTCATGTATTTTCCAGTCTGCTCAACATATCAGGAGTAACACTGTGAATAAGAGCTAATTTACTGCAGATATTTAAACACTGGTGTTTGATCTGAACAGTTTCAGAGGTACGTGAGGAAGCCGACTATGTTAACGCAGCAGTATACATTGTGGACGAAACACCAGCCGTCATGGGTATGTTACTGTCACAGTTTACTTGCCAATAATTAACTTAAGCATTTTAACAATGATCAAAATGATTGAATATTAAAATTGTGTGACAGAACTTTTGACTATTTTAAAGCACACAACATATTTCATCTGATTTCTTATTGTTTTGTCAGATAAGAAGCCTCACACCTTAACTCAGTCTATTCCAACAATAGCAGTGAGTTGGGTGATACTGTTTGTGATTTTGGCCCTTGATATCTACTGTGAGTATAAACTGAACTGTAAATAAACATGTACATGTCTCTGTTAATGCTCTGCTGGAATGATTCCTCTTTTTGTCTCTGGTGTTACACAATGACAGCTCACCTCTCCTTCTGCATGTTTGACTGTAGTTACATCTGTCATTTCTGAAAACAACACCAAGCTGACTGAAGAAAACCAGAACCTGAAAACACGAAACCAGGAGCTGGAGACACGAAACCAGGAGCTGGAGACACAGAGGAACAACTTAACACAACAAATAGAGAAGAAGGAGACAGAGTGGAATGAGCTCAACGTCACTCGAGCTCAGTGGACCATTGATGCCTACTGCAGCATAGAAGAAAACCGTATGTTCAGATCACTTTAATTAGTGACCAAATATAATACAATCACTATGCAGTAATGTTGCTAATTAGTTTGTCTCTTTCTGTTTTTACAGAAACACATTGTAATGTTTGTCAGGATGGATGGCTAAACAACACGTCCAGCTGCTATGCCATTAATAACCCTGGTCTTAATGAACAGAAAAACTGGAGAGAAGCTCAAGAAAACTGCAGAGGAAAGGGTTCAGATTTGGTTGTTATAGTTGATAAAAAAGAAAAGGTAAAGAGAAAACTGTGGAAACATTAATGACAGCCTATATGAAGTTCAATCACAGTGTACTTGTAGTATTTAAAAATCTCTGATTACTGTTTCTCCATTGTCCTCAGAAATACGTCAGTGATCACAGCTGGGAAAGTTCTGGAACCAGAGGATACTGGATTGGCCTGAGAGTTGAAGATGGGAGATGGAAGTGGGTCGATGGAAGTGATCTGACTGAAGAGTAAGAGACACAATTCTGAACAATTTGAATAATGAAATCTATCAGCCTTGATCTAACCGTCATGCTTTTCCCTCAGATCCTGGATAGAACCTCCTGAGAAAGATCACTGTGCAATTTCTGTCAAACACAGAGGATGGAAATCAGTGAGCTGTAGTGAGAGAAACCGATGGATCTGTGAAAAGGCAGCTTTATCTGTTTAAACACTGCAGTTAAACTTGAGAAGGTCACTGTCTGTAAAGATTAATCACATGTCAGATAAAATCAACTTGTTTATAAATATCAAATATGAAAACTTCTTCAATTTTTATTTCTAAAATAATATTTTATTTTTCTCAGGAAATTTTTTTTTCAAAGATGTTGATGTACATGATGTAAGGTATATGTGCAGTCAGATATTAGATCATATAGGTGCAGTGAGTCGGAGTGCTGACACCAGCATTGAGGAAAATACAGTGACTGACCTAAAAGAGCAGTAAACTGTTGATCATCAGTGACTTTGAATGTGTTTTTCTTCTACGTTGTTAGAGATGCAATGCTTACCATTTGTATATTAGCAGACTAATAAAAGGGACCAACAAGACTGCTTCAGTTTTCAATTTCCTGTATGTAACATTTTACATTGTCGGCCAACAGAGGGAGAAAGAGGTTACAGTGAATAAAAATGCTGCAACACAATGTCATTGTTAAATTTTTCTTGCATACTGCAAATATTTACCACATTCACATTACTGACCAATTTTTCACTAAACTCAACATGACCTCCTAACCAAAGACACCACAAACTTTTCTGTGATGGGCCTAGTTAACTGATTATCTTTGGGTTTTGAAGAATATCAGTTTGGGTTCTGTGAAACTGTGAGGGACTTTTCCACCATTCATTTTTTTTCTAACTAAATGATTAATCAAGAAAATAATCCGCTGTTAAATTAAGATACTTATGAATTGCAACTGGCATCATAAGCCACAGGGACCCACGGGGTCCCAGGGCCCCCCTGTTTATAGTGAAACAACCACTGGGAGACACAAAACAACCACAAGGAGACACGAAACTACCACAGAACAACCATGAAGAAACGCAGAACAACCAAATCATTGTTCAATGAATTAAATTATCAAGGGTTCTCTTTGTTAGTACAATTCGTACTTCATTTTCCAAAATGTAAACGAAAAATGGAGCTCAAGTTGTAGCTCATAGTGTAACTCTCCAATTCCCTGGCAGTATTATATACAGTATAAATTGATAAATTGATCAATTTCGGCAGTCAAATCTGGCAACATTTCTGGTTGTATACTTTAACCTGTGGTCGGTTTTGTTTGTTTGTTTTTGTCTTAATTTGTTAAGTTAATTTGTTAAGGATTGTTTGGTTATTATGGCTTGAGCTATACCAATATGTCTTACTAGGATATGCCATTCTGATAAAATTATAAGAAATATCACTTTTATAAGTTACCTAGCAGCAAAAGACTTGGAACGACTTAATTATGAATAGTAAAATGATGCTATGAGGCAGAAGAAACTACATTCAATTTCTTACTGCACTTGAATGCAACTGCCTGCGTCCTCGACTGCGACTGCGCGATTCGTGTCTTCCGGAAACAGCAGGGTTGTTTTGGTATCCGCTAGTACATTAGTTACCTGTCACAAGGTAAAGCAAAGCTTTAACTAACCAGTTTTGGCCAGGGGATTAAGGACGCTCGTCGGGACTTTCCACTATGTTTCTTCCGAGTTGATGAAATGAACTGTGTTGCGAGTGAAACACAGACACTTTGTTAATTTGGCGAATTACGGGAGCTAGCAGTTAGCTAGCCTGCTAGCTGGCTAAGTCAGAGCTTGTCACTCTGTCAACAAGTTGTGTTTAGGATGGACTGCGCGGCGCTGGAGCTCGATGCTGTCAAATTTGCCAAAACAGCTGTTACATATGACCATAATGGCAAATATAACGAGGCTGTATTTTATTATAAGGTAAGTGGCTGTAATTTCAATTAGACAGGTGTAAACGGCTGCTACCTGTCAACATTAGCACTTAGCTCATGTTACCCACAAGTCAACACAGACTTTCACTTGCATATTATAGCTTACCACTTTAAAGTGTAGCTTGAAGGAAATACACTTACATTAAAGAGAAGATCACAAAATAACAAAATTTTATATTTGTCAAGTTACAATAACATTTCATAGAGTTAAGCTTTGGGACTGTCACTGACACAATTTAATAGATATAAAAAATAACTGCTACCACCGCTTCCTTTATGATTGTTTGCTATAGGAGGCAGCCCAGGCCCTGATATATGCTGGCATGGCAGGGTCCAAACTGGAGGGAATCCAGGACAAAGTGAATGAATACTTGGATCGAGTCCAAGCCCTCCACAATGCTGGTAAGCTCACCTGACCAGAGACACAGTGGAACCACTGTTTTATTCTGCTTTTCCTGCATTTAGAGGATACTTAACAACAGAAGCACAACTGCTTGCTTACATCCTGTTTGTTGAACCTTTGTTAACCAAAAGATCTGTTATTATTTGTTTTATTATTTGTTTTATTTTTCAGAGTCATGTTCTTTTACAGTCAAACAGCTGCACACATTCACAGTTTCCATGTACAAATACATGACAGATTCAGTTGGTATTTAAATCACTTATTTCCATATTGTCATGTTTTTGCATTATAAAATACTGCACTGCAATATTCTCTTCAAATCATGAATGCCAAGTCTGACAGCTAATCATTTCCCAAACGTTATCAAGCGTATTTTAGATTTTTAGATTAATTTAGAGAGAAATTTATGAAAAAAAAATCTGTTTTATGCTGTTTTTTTTCCATACAAGCAATCACTGGTTTCATTCAGTTTAATTGGTGTGCCATAACACCTTTAATTTTTGTTGGACATGCATTATAAGTATGTTGATGTTGACAGTGCATATTGATTTGCATACTAGCACGGCAGTTTGAAAGACAAACTGTAATGACTACACAGTATTTACTGTTGTGAACACAAACACGGAAGACAAACAAAAAGTCAACATAGACGTCATGAAAATGCTGTTGTTAAATTAAAAAAGTTTCTTATCTCATGGACAGCAGGAGTTTTTACTGTCTTTATTGTGTTTCTAGTGCTTTTCAGCTTCTACTGTGTTATTACTTATCACTCTCCACTGTGGGCTTCCAGTTTATCTAATCTGATCTAAAGTCTTGCAGAGATGAAGCTTGTGTGAATAGTAACAGGTAAGAAACTATTCAAGAATGTTCCTGAATGGGCCCTCAGGACATACTTTCTCAATTGCTGTCTGACTGCGTTTTTCCATGACTCTGCCCTAATTGTGGGTGTGTGCGTGTTAGCACATGGGTGTGACCACAGAGACTGTTGTGCACAGTGGATGACATTTAGCACAGTGTGTAGCTGTAGTATGTTCCTGCTGTTTACTGTGAGATCAAAAGCAAACTTTCCTGTAACAGCTGCTCTAAAGAGATGAGTGTATTTTTCTTTTCATTTTAATTTCTTTTTTATAATTGTTCATATGGTTTTAATGTTTTACCTCATTCCAGTTAAACTGCAACACATATTGCGTCATTCAAAATGGCCATAAACATCTACTTTAAAACAGTTCCAAAAAATATGAGCATTATAACAGTCATAAAGGGAGGTTTTACTGCAGGGCACTTGTATTAGACTGTACCAGCTTTACCTTGGTAGATCTTATAAACCTGCAGCTGTAAGTGTTACTTTGATGTTGGTCAAAAGATCAAATTTTATTGTCCCATTTTTTTAAACCAAGCTGTTTTAGGAAATGTTTTCTGAAATCCTAAATTCAGATTCAGCATCACTTGTTTCTGTTCTATTTGCTGGTAAAGCAACTGTGGCATTTTGGGTCAGACAGATGAAAAGACTGAACAGCATCAAACGCACCATCCTGACTTAAATTGGACGCTCGTCCAATCGTTCTTGGTTGACTAGATCAGATACAAAAGCCCAACATGGGCATTAAAAACCCTTAAAGATGCAAGAAAGCTGACCATATAAAAAGGGTTTTCCTATCTGTAGCTGTGGTGGAATTAACATCAAAGTTATAGCAACTCAAACTGATGGAGAAATGTAAGCAGTCAGAGGGCTGAATGTATGATCTTGTTTGAAGGACAGCTCCTTCTGCCGCCCAGGTGTCAGTTGTGTGCCCTAACCATTCCTTCTCTGGACCTTTGACCTCAGTCCAGGCACAGAAGAGCGACCCGCTGAAGTCCCGGCAGCAGGTGGACCTGGAGCGCGCCCACTTCCTGGTCACGCAGGCCTTTGAGGAAGATGAGAAGGGAAATGATGATGAAGCCATTGAGCTGTACACTCAGGCTGTGGAGCTGTGCATTAAGACGGTAGCCCCCCCCCACACACACACACACACACACACACACACACACACACTGTTTGTTATCACACTCTCAGTCACATTCCTGTCTGCTTCCTCACTCTCTTCCTGTGTTTCCAACAGTCCAACGAGACATCGGACCAGGCGCTGCAGACCAAGCTGAAGCAGCTAGCACGTCAAGCTTTAGACAGGTAAGTGTGAACATGAAATATTTTATTCCAACTTTATGAGCAACAGTGTATTATGAAAGCCACCATGTTATTACAGTATATCTACATTATTTGTTAATTTATTAGAGTTCTGAATTCAGCTCATTCTGATTCTTAATTTCCTGGATATTTTACATGGTACACCTGTGGTAGTTTGTTTTATTGCTCTTGTGTATTGTGTGTTATTCAAATACATTTGTTTAAATAAAAGAATTGTCAGGATCAGTGCATCATATTGTTTAACAAAATTTTTTTTTTCCTTCTTTGTAAGATTCACTTGGATTTGCAGCTTTAATTAAACAACCTCGTCTTCTTTCAGAGCGGAAGGTCTTAAAGAGTCCCAGTCCAGATCAACTCCAGCCCAGACTCAGGACAGGACGGGCCCCTCTGGAACCAGGCCTGCCAGTGGTGGCAATTCTGGGGGACCAGTCCGCCAGTTTTTCCCCCTTGGGCCAGACTTCAGCCTCCACGACCGACCTCAGCCCCAGCCGGTCCGGGCAGTCCAGTCCAGCGAGCCGCAGGGTCAGCGCTACACGTCTGAAGAGATCGAGGTGCTCAGGTGAGCCGGATGGTGGAACCTGTTGTTCAGTGATACTACATTAGAAAGATTTGTGCCTCACAGGTCCTGGTAGACTGAGAAAAGTCTTTAATACTAATTCACAGTTAGGGAAAAGGTCCAGAACCAGAACATCTTAGCAAACAGTTCTTGGAAATGATTTTAATCCGTAGTGAAATTGAAGTTGCTATACGAACAGTCACAAGGGTCACCAGCCACCAGTGTTACTTCAGTCTTGGTTAAGGACAAGGTGAATGGGATTAAATATTCAGTGTCTGAATATGTGACTGTTAAAGGCTTTTAAAGGTAATTGAAACTGGACTGAAAAAGAGCAACATTTTGTTCATTATATCCTTTGCACATCTCGTGTAATAGTCCTCTGGTGGCATCTGCAGCATAAAATAACCAACTAACTTACAGTGAAAATATTTAGTCTTTGAAATTTCTTTAAAAAAAATGTGGCAACCATGTTAAAATAGAAATAAAAAACTGTGCGAAATCTTAAAGAAAAATTGCAAAAGATGTTTAGGAAAAGATTCGAAATTTGCCACCACACCCCAGAGAAAAATACATTTTTTTTAATATAATTTTTTACTACTACTGCTGACTAAAATCAGGTGTTGGGTTTCTTCAATCTTCAATCTGTTTTGTTGGACTAAACTTGTCCTTCTTTATTTTCAGGAGTACATCTACAATTAACAGCATGGCCTACGTTCCCTTCATGAGTGTGGACCTGAAGGAGCGGTTTGCCTTCCCCGTCCCCTTCTCGTGAGTTTGAGTTTTATTATTTAATGTCAGTTTTTTTTTTCTTTTATATTAGTAGCGCAATGTTAAAGCTAATATATGACAAAAACATTATCACACGAGCCACTTAAGGTTCAACTTTACATTTTTGAATTTTACTGTGGAGAAAGGTTTCGACATCTGTCCTTCCTTTGTACTAAAACGTCTCTTATTCTGTGCACTATTTGTTGTGACAAGGATTTTCTCATTTGTCATGTCTCTCAGTTTCAATTGACTCTCTGCTGCTTCAGTCCTGTAAAATCAGTGTCAGCTGTTAAAGACTTCCTGCATATTGTTTGAGTTGCCGTTAAGCAAATCCACATCAAACTGTCAGATCTCTTAGTGGATCTGAGTCAGTGAGGCAAACACACTTTAATACTTTGTCTTTTTAATCTTTTAATTCTTTAACCAGGGACAAAACGGGGAAACTGGCGCTGTCACCCAAACAGAAAGCCATCTTCTCCCGCTGGGTCCGGCCAGACGAGATCTGCAATAACCCCACCATGATCATGTCTGTGTCCAGCTTCAGCATCAAACAGGTCAGAGGACCCGGCTGCTGTATGTCCATGCACCAACAACAACAGCTTCTCATCTGGATGGTTTTAACTCTAGTGTGGAACATTTTAGCTCCTTTATAGCGTTTGTATCTGAATATTGAACAGAATTGTATAATATATAGTATTTCACATTCTTAATATTGTGTAAATTTAGTCACTGTTCATGACTTTTAAATTCAGCCAGTAGATGACGTGACATCATCCGTCGTAAGGCTTGTCATGGTCGACATGTTAAAATAACCCACAGCATCCAAATGCAAAATGTTCAACTGTCGCATTTCAACTTTTATAATTAATGTGGCCTTCACTCCAGACGGTGGTGTCTGACTGCTCCTTCGTGGCATCACTCGCCATCAGCGCCGCCTACGAGAGGCGCTACAACAAGAAACTAATCACCAGGTACTGGATGGTGCTTTAAGGGTTTCACACCCACCTCCTTCAGCCTCAAGCTCTTATTCTGATGAGTTCAGAATCAACCCTGACACTTTGATCGTGTGTGTTACAGCATCATCTACCCTCAGAACAGGCGAGGGCAACCGGAGTACAACCCGTGTGGGAAGTACATGGTCAAGCTTCACATCAATGGAGTCCCCAGGAAGGTAAAGGACAAATCACCACAGCTGGTTCATCTGTACAGCTGAATATATTACCCTTATGAATGCACCTTCTGCGCACACTGGGCGCAGAGGAAAATGATCTCTGTTGCTGTCAAAATCGTATTTAAGGTTATAATAATTTGCTAATAAACCGGCCATCTGTACGACATCCCTCAAACCGACAACCTGTCTCTGTCTCTGTTCCTGTTGCAGGTGATTATAGATGACTACCTGCCGGTGGATCGTAACGGAGAGCTGCTGTGCTCCTACTCCAGCAACAGGAACGAGCTGTGGGTGTCCCTGATAGAGAAAGCCTACATGAAGGTGATGGGAGGCTACGACTTCCCTGGCTCCAACTCGGTGAGTGAAGGAGGAGAAACCGAGAGACGTGGCTGTTTTTCAACAACGTCATTCACCTGCTTTCCTAGATAAAAAAAGATTGTAAAGTAAAAAACTGGCTAAAAATAAGGAGTATTTAAATAAAGCTTTGTTAAAAATAATATCAATTTGTAATAAGACACATCTGATCACTTCTATGTCTTGAAAGTTTTGGAAAAAGTTTTTTTTAAATATTAGCGGCCATTTTTCCAAGTCACTCTCAGCAGACTGAATACGAACCAACGTCTGATGCTTCTCAAGAAATTAGTCTGCGATAACAGAGTCAGAGTTTTCATATTTTGTTGCGTGTTACAGAACATCGATTTGCATGCGCTCACCGGCTGGATCCCTGAACGCATCGCTATGCACTCTGACAATCAGTCATTCAGCAAGGATGACACCTTCCGCATGCTCTTCCAGAGGTGAGAATTACACAGAGAAAAGAAGTTATCTTCAAGTTTAAAAGGACTTCTTGACCTTTTTTTTTTTTTTTTTTTTCTCCCTCTGTATCTGCTTCTCTCTCTCTCTCTCTCTTCATTTCCCAGGTTTCACAGGGGTGACGTCCTCATCACCACGGCAACAGGAGTGATGACAGAGGAAGAAGGGGATAGATGGGGTTTAGTGCCAACACACGCCTACGCTGTTCTTGACATCAGGGAATACAAGGTTAGCGTAATTAAAGTAGTAGCGTTTTTTTTGATGCATTTGCTAAAAGCTACAAAATCCTCAACGTTATGAGTTCTGCTGGTAAACTCTCAGTTTGCTCATTTGACTCCATGTACAACTGGAATTAAAATGGAGTCGTATCAATTCAGCATTACTGATTTAGAATTAATGGTGCCATTGAAGCTCCTGTAAGGGAGGTGTTGTGCTGAACCGTTCACATATCCTGTTCACATATTCACACATCACTGGAGAGTTGGTGTGTATTTCCATTGAGTCAAATATAAAATAAGAAGATTTGTGCATGGTGTCACTGGCAGTTGTGAGCCCTGACTCGTTTAACAAGCTTCTCATCTCAGTGAAAATCTGCAAAGGGCGAGAAAATCAGATGTTCAGATGTCGGTAGATAATGAAATCTCACCGTCCTTCCTGCTATTCGTATCTTTTTTTAATTAACACCATGTCTGCGGGGGAACGTTTTTCTTCTTAGGGAATGCGTTTCCTGCAGCTGAAGAATCCATGGAGTCATCTGCGGTGGAAGGGGCGCTACAGCGAGCGAGATGAGAAGAACTGGACGCCCGAGCTCCTCAAATACCTCAACTTTGACCCCAAGACGGCACAGAAGTTCGATAATGGTATACCAAGTCTTAAATAGCATAAATCTTCCTACAAGTTAGTATTGACACGGTATGCTAGTATATATATTTAGCTGCAGGTCATAAATTTATGGAGCTCCTATTGCAGTAAAACTGACATGGAGACAGATTCATTTTATATCCTGGGAAGTACTTGAAGAAATTAGTAGTTTGGGTAATTACTTCACAAATTATAAAGATTAGGCAACATAAAATGTATGATTACTTGAATAGGAAGCAGAGGCACTTTAGAATGATATGCAGCGTGATAATTCAGCAGGAGCACACTTTTATCCAAGCTACTTTAGAAATGAGCGACTCTGTGATGAATCCCCAGCAGCTGTACTGGGAGGACGCTTCATCAAAAACAATTAGCAGCGCAGTGGGAAGCCAGTGAGGGGAATCAGTGCACAGGCTGAAGTAGGGACCAGATGACCGTCAGCATAAATATTATAGAAAAAATGTCACAAAAACTGTAATAGAGGAGCCTGTTGTCTAGACAGTAATAGAATTTCAACGTGTACATCTCACCCTTAAAAAGTGAATTCATACTTTTCACATCACGAGTGACTTCTCTGTCCTCACTAGTTAAAGTTAAAAGTCAATATGTCACTGCAGGGAACTCTATGCCTGAAGTTTAAGCCACAGAAATGAAGCTCTATTCAGGTGACACATACGTTGCTTTCCTGTGTTGCTCTCCAGGTGTTTTCTGGATCGCGTGGGAGGACCTTTGTCAGTACTATGATGTCATCTACCTGAGCTGGAACCCTGCCTTGTTCAAAGATTCCTCCTGTATTCACAGGTGTGTGTGTGTGTGTGGTTCAGTTTCAGTAACTTGATGATGTGTCGGTCAGTATTCGTCTTTACATAAAACAAGTTTCAACTCAAATTTGGCCCCCTAGAACAGTTTCCTTTTTTGAAGTGTATGATTTCCCCGTTGTGTTTAACTCGAGATGAAAACGTGTGTGTGCACCTGCTTCTGTTAGGTATGCAAATTTATATGCTGTATTGATCAGAGCAGATGGACCCAGTCTGAAGCATGTGTTGTGGTTTGTGTTTCGTCTGCAGTAGCTGGGATGGGAAGCAGGGCCCAGTGAAGGACGTCTACAGTCTGGCCAACAATCCCCAGTACAAGCTGGAGGTCCAGTGTCCAGCAGGTGGCGCTGCCGTGTGGGTGCTGCTCACCAGACACATCACTGACAAGGTGGAGATACAGAGCTGAGAGATACTGACAACGTCATATTATTAAACCTCACCGCCAGTAATGTGGTACTTTACTTACCTCACTTTTATCTAATGACTGTTTTCTGCTTGTTCGTTTTCCAGGATGATTTTGCACAAAACAGGGAGTTTATCACACTGGTCGTTTACAAGACAGATGGGAAGAAGGTTTACTACCCAGGTAAGGATCGATGAGATGCCTTAGAAGACGAGTTCTCTCCGCAGGACTGAGCTGTGAGATATGTCCTGTAGATGGGAGGCAGCAGGGGTTTGAAGGCAGTACTCCACAAAGCCTTTATTTCTGCTCCGCTCACACGCAATATGGTCAGATGCCTGGAAGACACAGGGCAGTTAACCCTCTGGTTAGTCGCTATAACCAACCTCCCCTGGCTCCCTCCACAGCGGACCCTCCTCCTTACATCGATGGCATCCGCATCAACAGCCCACACTACCTGACCAAGATGAGACTGACCAGCGCGGGGACGCACACCTTCACACTGGTGGTTTCCCAGTACGAGAAACAAAACACCATCAACTACACACTGAGGGTGAGAAGAACTTTTGTGTTGTTGTGCTGTGTTTAAGGTGTCTGTGTGTGTGTGTGTGTGTGTGTGTGTGTGTGTGTGTGTGTGTGTGTGTGTGTACACGTGTGACCTAAATATATTTTTTTTCAGTAGTTTATAATTCATGGACTCCTCTTGTTATTAACTGCAGAGAGGACTGTGGAGAATAGTTCATACTGAAATCACTCATTAAAATCAAACATGTGCTCTGTACATGTGTGTGTGTGTATGTATGTGTGTGTGTGTATGTTTGCATTCTGTGTGTAACTGCTGCAAGCTCTCTCTCGCTCTCTCTCTCTCTCTCTCTCTCTCTAACTGTGAAAACGACCCCCCCTCGGCTCAAATCAGCGTTTCTCTTTGAAAAATCGTCCTGAGAGGAACTGATTCAACTCTCTCTTGTTCACTGAACAGTTCACCTGAGATCAAAGCCATAAGCAGGAAATGTGATTTTTCTTTTTTAATTTTTCTCCCCCCCTGATGTTTCTCTTACCAGAACAGAACAGCGCTAATATCAAAGATCTATTTTGTCGACAGATAGTCATGAATAAGTACATCCACCATTTGGAAACATGCTACACTTTGTCTTACACGGCTGCTGGTAACGAAACAGAAATTTCTTCACTTGTGGCTCAGGACGTAGATACTGGAGCAAGATACTGAAACCCATATTGCCTCTGATGGCTGTTCCATCAGTGTGTGAATGGGTGAATGTGGCATGTACTGTAAAGAGCTTTGACTAGTCCGTAAGACCAGAAACACAGTCCATGCAGTCCATGTACCGTTTACTTTCTGACCAACTGGAATTATACCCAGTGTCTTATTTTCCATCTGCCACCTGGATTTCTTTTGACCGGCTCATGTTCAGTGTCATATAATAACAAAATGTGTTTCTTTACCCAGGTGTACTCTGGATGCAAATTCACCTTCTCCAAGATCCCAAATCCCTTCACTCACACCAAAAGGGTACGTTATCACCTACAACCCATGTACAAGTTAACAGGCAGACATTATTTATAGTGAATTTTCATGTTTAATTATTGTGTTCTGGTCTCTGTTTGTCTCTTCAGATCAACGGCCAGTGGAAGGGGCTCACTGCCGGAGGTTGTGGGAACTATAAGGACTCGTACAAACACAACCCCATCTATCAGATTAACCTGGAGCGGCCGGGACCGCTGCTCATCGAGCTCCGAGGATCCAGGTCAGGCTCATACCGAGGACAGATTGACCCATATAGCTTCAAGTTCAAGTTTATTTGTACAGCACAGTATCATTCAAAAACAATTCAAAGTGGTTTACATGGTTGTAGAACAATATATAAACTTTCCAATGATATCTGACAATGGCCAATTAGCCTTGAAATCACATGATTTCTGCTCTACTAGATTCAAAGCTGGTGGTCTATAAAAGCCTTTGTCATGCCGTCTTTACTGCATCTCTGCTGCTAATGGTGCACTCAGTCGACGTAACGCCAGCAGCTCCAGCATTTTCATCTGGGTTTCTAAGTGCTACTTCAGAAACGTCATCAATTTTTACCCTGGTGGGTAAAATTTAGATTTAANCGCATATCTGCCTCAGTTCAGTCGACGTAACGCCAGCAGCTCCAGCAGGAAAATGTTTCAGCGACCTAAAGCTTTAGTCTAGTTAAAGACGATCAGCTTTAGTGTTTTTCATCTGGGTTTCTAAGTGCTGCTTCAGAAATGTCATCAATTTTTACCCTGGTGGGTAAAATTTAGATTTAATGACATGATTAAAAATGGAAAATATTGACACTAAAAAAACAACTAGTAGCTTCACTTGAGAAATACTGGATCAAACCCACACCTGCCATTTCAGTATATTTTATACTGTTACTGTAACATCCTCTATGACCTTCAGATGGATATAAAAACCTGAGCAGTCATGTTGTAAATCCATGGAAACATAAGGCCGGTGCTTCCCCCGCTGCCATTTCATTTCACTTCATTTAAATAAATCTGTCCGACTTATTAAGGACTCATTAACAGGATGACTCAGGGACTTTTCCCAATGTGGCATTATCACCTAATGATCCTCTGGCACTTTCTCTCTCTCACAGAAACACACACACACACACACACACACACACACACACACACACACACACACACGCACACACCAGGATGACTCAGTGATTGCAGTGTTTTAATTCTGCCTCCTAACTCCAGTGACATGACAAATATTCTGTTGCATTTCACACTGTCTCTCATCATGTTACATAATTATATACATTACTGGAGACAATAAGATAAATTAAACACCTATCTGTATTTTCCACAGTCGCTGACGAATGAGTGACTGTAAACTTAGACTCTCATATCACCAGCATGCACAGACTGTAGAGAGGTCAGGAATGTGTGGATTACTTTAATCACTTCAGATATTTCTTATCTGTAGTTTCCTGTAACTTATTGACTAGTCTGACTCATTGGATGTAGGCTGTGGGTGCACGCCTGCCACTGGGCGCCTTATCCAGGCAGCATTACCCTCCATATCCGCTTCACCTGCCTGTTACCTTCTTTTCAAAATCCCCTTCGCTACAACAAACGACAACAACCTCCGAGCTGCAGCCTAAATGCTGAAAATGGCGAGTTTTGGTGAATATTTGGATCGTGCAATTAAATTTTCTTTTTATTTTTGAGGTGTTTTCAGTGCTCACCTCACTGTGCAAATGTTCCACCCAAGATGATTGTGATCGGTTTAAAGAAATGCAAACACCCAGAGCTTTTTCCTCTTCCCCACAAACCAGCATTTATCATTTGTCGGTTCTGCTCCTGACTACAGCTCGATCAAACTTTATTAGCAAGAAAGATAAATGTTGAAACAGCAGGAGATTATTCAGATGAAATATACTCAAAATGCATGAGTGAAAATATACAAATTAAAGAACAGATATAGTGAGGATCAACATAACTGTGTGACCACTGCTTGCTGTCTTTGTGTGTGCAGGCAGTACAGCGTTGGTTTTGAGATGGTGACGGTGTCGACGGTCGGGGAGCCGGGTGCAGCAGCCTCCCAGAAGAAGAGCAGCGGAGATTACAGGTACGGTCGGCCTAACGGACAGGCCTCACAGCGCAGAGCACTCACAGGTGGAGGGAAGGTAAAGGTTGTAGGTCTGCAGTCGGGTCTGCTGGAGCACAGAAACACTCACTCAGCGTGGTTGTTTACCATCATCACACAACAATAGCGTGAAATGAATTTTCCAGCCTCACTGTGCAGACACACTAATGTACAATGAATAAAGGAAATAATTCGATTGGCAACAACTAATGACATTTGAACGCTTGTAGAGAAACCTAAACAAGAGCATTTATAATTCCAAACATCGCAGTATTATTAGTTAAGTTATTTTTCCAATTGATCAAACAAAAGTAAGTTAGTCTGTCTCTTGAAGGAGACATTTCCACATTATATTTTAGAACTACCTCTTGACACTGAGCCTCTCCTCTGATTGGCTGATTTTGTTTCTGAGTGATGGAATAACAATATAGCAGATTTCAGGTCAACACTCCTGCAAGACAGAATTAATATAGAGACTAGACTTGCTAAAGGTAAAGGAATGTTTACATTCAGTGAAATTACTTTAAATACATTTTTCAAAAACTTGTTCATTTTGTTATCATGGGCAGTTTTATCAGTTTGAAATGAAATCGGTGAGTGTGATGAGATACACTACACCTACACTAAATGGGAAATTAATTTGTTAACGTAAAAGTAAAGAACTTCATCAACAATTCCAGTTTATTTGGATATTTATAATATCACATACAGTATTTATAATTTACAGACACACATCAGCAACAGTCAGAGTCCAGGAGACAAGAACTGTTATTGTGACCATTTCCACAGGAATTGCGACACAGATCAGCATGTCAGGGATGTCACATAGGTCGGCCACGTGTCTCTGGACATAGTGTGTCTTTATACACACACACACACACACACACACACACACAAACACTGCTGTCACTTCTTCTTCACTGTGTAATGTCACATTAAAGTAATTGGGGATGGGAAGGGGAGACGTGTTCTGCAGAGTAATCTGATTTCAGTTTTCACCCGTTTGTTTTTTTCTTTTTTCTCACTCTTTGTCTTTCTCTCTTTTTCCAGATGCGGTTTCTGCTACATGGAGGCCGACCACGTCCCAGCAGGCATCTACAACGTCATCCCCACCACCTTCCTGCCCAAACAGGAAGGACCCTTCTTCTTGGACTTTGCCAGCACCGCGCCCCTCAAGGTCTCCCAGCTTCAGTGAAGACGGAGCTGGGAGAGAGGACGGGGGCAGGGATTGGGAGGAAGGTACTTGTCAGGGGATATTTCTGATGTTTCTGTCTGAATGTGATGAGGTGTCACGGCCTCCATGAAGCCCAAAGAGCCCAGAATGTGACCGGTAGCTTCGACTAAACACCGTCTCAGCCTGTCGCCGTCCTCTCTGGCTGAATCCTTTTGCTGACGTAAATGGACAGATCGTGGACTTGAACTTCAGCATTGACGTGATGTTACCACACAGTTATGGTGAAGGAATAAATCATCAATAAGGAGTCATCAGGAGGAACTTCAGTATGGAATAGAACCCGTCAACCGTCAAGGCGTTTTCGCAACAGAATTAAATAATCTTTTCGCCAAAAAAAACAAAACCGGACAGATTAATCGTGATGAAAGCCAGATGGATCAATTGGCATCGACATTGGATTTCACGAGACGACAGTAATCACATGACCACATCCTGGACTCGACTGGATGTGGGGAACTAACAGGGTTGAAACGAACACCAGCTGCCTGAGAGCTGCAAATTCTGTTCAGGTCCTGTTTTGCTGCATTGAGCATCTCATCAGTACAGAAGTGGAAGTCTCAGACTCACCACTGGTTGGAATTTGATGAATGTTATGGTAGTTTTGAGTTTTCACATGAGGGGTGGAAATCATTTTTGGTCTGGGATTTTTCTTTCATGGTTGCGGCCCCTTATATTCAGTGGTGCATGACCTCAGTATCTTAGACCAGTGGATTTTTTAAGTTAGACCATGGACCCCAATTTGATCGGTGTCCCAGGGTTTTCTTCTTTTACATATTTTACTTCAGAAAGTGTTTGAAACTCATGACCGACATAGTCATACATTCTGGATGGCATTATAGTGAAAATAGATTAGAGGCTGTTGGAGTAGCATATTAACGCCCATGATGTGAGAGTGACATGTTCAGCTATCACATGGCCGGAGTGTTTAGTTGTCCGCAAACTTTTCGGCCAAGTTGTGGATCTCAGTTGAGACTTTGGGTGCTATTGGACAAGGTTTCGAGGTCGTCTGACTCGTTATTCGAGGCCAGTGACGCGTCCATACAGGCGGGTGGAGGGAAGGGTTCGTGATGATGAGACCTGTCAATCATGTAGTGTATAGACAGTTAGAAATGCCAGCTATCTCCCGTCAATACACCCGTAGCCCTGCCGAGTAACGACCTGTTTGCTGTGTTTATTTATTTCAAAGTAATGAGAAAGAAATAAAAATTTAGGGTCTGGGAAAAAATACACATGAAAAGTTGCAGAAACGTGTGAGGACCACAGCGTTGGTCAGATGTCTGAGATGCTCATTATTGCAAAACTACTTGAATAAGAAGCAGTTGCTTGAAACTGGCAGCCACGATACAAAAAGCAAAACATTATTCCTCAAACGAAGTCCTCAGTTGTTCTTCTCTCTAAATATTTATTTGCCCAAAAACTGATCAGACTTATTTGGCTCCCAGGAGTCGAACAGTTCAGAGTCTCTGCCAAAATAATAAACGCTGTTTTAGAGTCTGACAGGTTGAAGGGGGAGAGTTAAAGTTTCCTCAAATGACCATGAAGGTTATTTTTTTGTTTTTTGTTTTTAATTCTCAGGAGCAGTGCAGCAGAGCAGCACCACAGGGAATCCAGTATGGCAGCAGTTGAATGATGTCTCTTCATGTTGTCTGTGGATGTGACGGCTGAGTGAGAATTATCAGCCTGATTTCACTGACGGGCCTCACGTCAGCACTCAGCACTGCTTGAGGCAGGTATCGCACACCGTACGTGTTATACCTGTGTGTGCGTGTGTGTGTGTGTGTGTGCATGTGTAAATGTTTTGGTTTTCATTTTAAACCTTTCAAAGGTAAAAATTTAAATGTATTGCCAAGTATACATCCTGTTTACTTTTATGTTACCAAACTGCACTTTTTTTTTTTCTTTTTTTTTTTCTTTTTTTTAATAATTTCTCTTCCTGTTTGTTGTCAAACACAGTATGTCAGTATATGGAAATGAACATGTCACATGGCAAAACGATTATCAGAAAGCGGCTCATCTGAATTCACCTCCTCAGTTTTCAATGGGAAAGGTTTCTTTTCGGGTGACTTCACCCGTCAGCAGCCGCCCGCATAAAAAATTATGCTGCTAAATTCTTCGCGTCACTAGCGAAGCTTTGCAGCCGTGCCATAACTTCCCTGGCAACAGCGTTTGTTGAGATGACGGAAGTGCTTTGGTGGATTTGCTGAATGAGATTGTGGGACTTTATGTTGCGGTGCGTGTCCAACCAGGAGCGTTGAGTGTTAAATTTAACACCAGGGTTTTGTTGCATCATGGGGAAGCAGTCCTCCAGTAGCGCACTCAGCAGCTGGATGTGCGTCTGAAACACATTCTAGCTAAGTCAAAGCATCGAATGACTTTCAGTCACAGACATAAACATGGTGAGTGTTGCCTTTTATTGCGTTGCAACTTGCTGCTAGTACAGTTGCCAGTTTATTAGGTACATCTAGCTCAAACTGATGCAGTGTAATACAACAGTCCTGCAGTAAATTCTCCTACATGAAGGTTATAATATTCAGTTTGTGTTGATATTGTTTTAAAGATGTTGATTCAGCAGTGTGAACATCTTGGTGGTTGCAGTTGAACTCTATTGTTTTGTATTAAGAGAAACACCACACTGTTGAATGTAATACAGTTGAACAGCAACACAAACTTACAGCCTTCACTATACAAACTTCACATTATAACCTTCATAAAGGAGGATTTACTGCAGCACTGTTGTATTAGATTGCATCAATTTTAGCTTGGTGTTCCTAATAAACTGCCAACTGTTATGCTCTTTTTTTTCCTCTTTGTTGCATTGCAGTGACCAGACAAACCCTCTACAGGTCAACGTTGGAGAAAAATTTACTTATTTTTGAGCGTAAAAGTTGATTCTTGAGTTTGAGAATGTGTTTATCTTAACAGAAGGTTTAGGTTAGTATCTGTTACATAAGCTGTCAACTGCATCTCACATAGAGTTTGTTCAGTTGACATGAAGAAGTAGTGTGTGGACCTTGAGTTAAGATTCGTCAGTTACCTTATTTTCTGCTAATTTCAGTGCGACTTCAGTCACAGATGTTTCCACGTTAGTGAAGTGAATCCGATTGCAGCGGACTACACAGGGTAACACAGTGTTGAGACTCCATGTCCTCACATAAACTTTTTCTGTTTTCTGAGCATGAAGCAATTGTAAAGTCACTCTCACAGCTCCATGTTGCCGCAGTAAGAGTCTGCAAGTATTGAATATTTTAATTTTAATCGACTGTTAAGTCAGTAAAATGTAAGAAGAAATGTAAAGATCACATCTTCACATTGCTTAAATTGCAAACAGTACAAACCTCAAAATATTCAGCAAACCATCTCATTTCTGAATCTGGAACCAGGAATGTTTTTGGCGATATGAACTGATAAATGAATCAATTGATTAAGTAAATATTCAAATTGGTGCTGATGTATTTTCGGCTGAAAAATCAGCTGATTTGTGAAGGGTATTCCCTCCACTGCGGCCTCTGTAGTCGTGTGCACGTGGCTCAAACTGTAGCACACAAAACTTGTATGATTTAATGTTGTTTCCTACAAACCTCGGCTTTGCTAAACAATCATTTAGGTCATTTTAAAGAATTAAAAATCCACAGGTCTCATAGTGTCTCACAGTGACTCAACACACAGGTGAACTTTGACCCGTTTCACAGTAAAACCTCTGGGGTGCATGATAACAACTGTCACTTATAATCACTGTTAACAATCCTTCATAGTAAAAACCAGTGCTGACTGGAGGCTGACCGTAAATGAACTAATAACCCTGCTGTGCTAAAAGGTTGAAAAAAATAATAATAGCTTTAAATATCCATTGCCAAGCACTTCTGTCAAATATCCACTTGTTCATTCATGATAATTCTAACTGTTATGAGTACTCTGTCTTTGTCACCATGTTATGTTATGTCGTTTTAACTGGCAACAAGCCAACTCATGTAAAGATGCAGCAGGACAATCGTGCGGCGACCTGTTGTATGAATGATGATGTAATGTTTGCAGAACTTGCACTAAATGTTGGGTAGACTGATGTGTTCGAACTTTGAATACAGAAAATTGTATCTGCTTCTGTCTGTCATTTATTTATTTATTTACATGGAAGTGGAGGGGACTTTTATTTTGATAGCAATAATGACATGAGATTTTGTACCTTCTGCTTCCGAAGTCACTGTGTGATGTAAATGATTTGAGTAAGGATGTAAACAGGCTAACAAAGGCTAACAATCATGTGAAAAATAGTAAGACAGTCACATGGCAACATCACCTACACAGTGTGACACATTCTTGTATATTCAAACACAACATAAGTGATCACAGGAAGTTACCTCCTAAACATTTCTGGCCACAGTCACAACTAATCTCCATCATGCTAATGTGAATGGGAAGGTTAAATCAAAACCACGTGGCTACTGATGACCAGGAGAGGCGGAGACTTCACCTCCACCTACACGTCTGTCTGTGCTGACTCCAATCAAAGCCTGGAGGCCTGTAACTGACGTAAACATTAAATTCAGCGTTTTACACTTAAAGCAGAAATGTTAAATGAAGAGGTAAAACCACCACATGGATCCACTGGACCTCATCACTCCCCATGATGATGGTCATTCTACATTATCTGTAAATATGTTTAGTTTGGAAGTGCACAGCACTGAGCCGAGGTTTCATCAGCTGAAAACTCTGGTAAGTTTATGATCTTTTTTAGTTTTCCTTGTTGTTATTTAAAGTGTAGGTGCAAAGTATTAATTAATATAAATGTTCTTTTCAGATGTCGTCCAGCTGACAGTGAAGTTGTGTGGCTGCGGTGATTGAAGGATACAGCCAAGGAAAAGGAGGTGATCCCTTATAATTCACCTCAGTTCAAGCCACAAGCACCAAACTTATTGAAAGAAGAGAATCTATATTATACAAAGTATATTATTTTTTATAGGTATAGCTGATCGATAGAAAAATAAGTGACACACAGTTCCAGCTTCTAAATTATAAAGATTTGCCGCCAAAAAAAAAAATCTTGGAAAAAGCCAAAACATGACCAACACATCAACCACACACCAGGTTTAATTGAAACAATGTGGAACAAGCAAAAGGACCCACACCAAAAGAAAAAAATTATCTTTTTTTTAATTAAGGAAACAAGTATGGAAAAATAAAAAATAGAAATGGTATTAAAGTAGTTTTTGTATGGCACTTTTCTCAGTGCTTTGAAAATAAGAGTCAGTATCGTGAACTAAAGAAAAAAATCACATTACATAAAACATCTAAAATGATTTTAAAGAAGTGATTAAAAAGAAGGTCCAAAATTTATATAATTAAATTGGTAGAAATTTTATATTTATAGATTGCCAATGTGAAGTTAAAACTGGTTTATTGGATATTTTCTTTCAGTTAGAATCACAGCTCCTTGGACTAAAACATCTCTGCTGAATCAACATTTCTATTTATAGATTTATACTGTATCAGTCTGCATTAATCTGATTCCTAAACCTTATCAAAAGTACAGAGGTCAAGGTTCAGAGGTCACAGCAGCCAGTTAATTGTAAGCAGGGAAGCTATTTCCTCAGATAGAAGTCAGAGAGGCATTTTTTTTGGCTATTAACACCAAAACCCACCTTCTTATGTTCTGTACATCAGATTTTATCTTTATAGAAGTCATATGAGAGAGCAGAATTTGTTTTTGAAATAAGATGACTAGACAGCTGGTCGTCTGTCTGAACGAGGCGACACACTGATGAGGCATGAAGGTTAATCTAATGTTCGTACCCCTCCATGTCGACAACAGTGGCAATAAAAAAAGAGGCTGAAAGGTCAATTTAAGCGTGTGAAGAGGGAGAGGGTCATTGGAAAACCACAGAAAGGACGGGTTGTGTTGTTGAATTAGACAGAGCCTGCTGTGCTGTTAGAAGCACGTGTCTGAGAAACAACACGCTGTCGCTGCTCTTCCCTGTCACAAGGAACGTGGCCGAGATGACAACTTGGAAATGGAGCACAGGAAGTTTAATTTTCTCTGTAAAGCTGACATGCTGTTTAATAACTCTGGAAATGTAACGAGCTGCTTCTGTGGAAGGCACATTTAAATTCCACACTTTTCTTTAAAGGTAAATTGCACATTAACTCAGTGTTGAATACGTTTTGTTGTTCCTTGTGAAAGCAGAACGACTGCTTGTATTTAATGTCAGACTCCTCGGCACCAGTAGAGAACCTCAGCATATGAGTCTGTCCAGCTCTCTGTGTAGGTGTTAGAATACTTGTAACGCCTCATCAGCTGTTGTATAAACCTCACTCAGAGCTGTGATTGTTGTCATGTCAGGTTGGGATTTTTCTAAGTGGTTCTCTTCGTGATCTGATCAGTGGCCTGTGATACAAAGATAAGAGAAGGTTAATGATGTTTAGACAGAAAGAGAGAAGAGCAGCTCTTGTGGTTTTGGACGAAGACCAAAACCACAAAACATCATGGTTATCAGAGGCCACGGTCCCCTAAAAGCATTTTCTTTCCTACTCCTACTGTCATCTAGCCACACAGATAGTTATTGTTTTGACAAGTGAATGTATTGATAAAAAAATGACATGAGATCATCAGGGTTCCCAGTACTCAGACCTCACTCTGTGTATCATCCAGTTTATAGGAACTGTTTCTTTGGTAGAAAGAACCAATTATACTCCCATCAGCTTCAGCTGGAATTTGTGTTTAGTACTAATTAGCAAATGTTAGCATGCTTACATGCTAAACTAAGATGGTGAACATGGTAAACATTACACCTGTGAAAGATCAGCATCAGCCCATCTCGTCACTTTCCAATAGCGACTCACTGTTGCCTCCAATCTGCCCCAAAGACTTACTTAATGGTCCCCTTGGTAATTTAAGTGAACCAACTCTTTTGGACATTTCTGATTCAAAGTTCATTAGATAGATTTTAAAACTCATTCTGAAGAAGAATCTACAGAACAATACAAATAGAGTGATACTTCAGGGGCTTCTCTGTGATGGTGCTCTCTTTTTTATTGGGAAAATGTGATGACCATTTAGACCAGTTACAGCTTCTCTTAAGACGTGCCAGATGCCAGTTGATCTTGATGCAATCCTGACTGGTTGTTAATTGAAGTCAGATTGCCTACTAATTGATTGCCTTTCAGTTACTTAGCAAAACATCATGCTTTTGATTTAAAGAAACTGCAAGTCTTTCTTGGAGAGAGCATGCTGCTGCTGTTCTGTCACGCTGAATGTCTCCAAACTAATCAGATCATAATAACGACCCTGGTCTTTGAAGACTGAGCTAATTTAAGAGCATGTGCAGTGACATCCTATTCAAGCCGGACTACTGACCTTCAAATGAACCAGGACCACAGTGAAATGAACATCTGTTTAAGGTTAGGGTTAGGTTAAGGCATAAAAACAGTAAAAAAAAATGTCTTACTATATAGCAAGGCATATAATTGTCAAAAGACATCATAGGTAAGGCATAAAAAATGTCATAAAATGTCATAGTGTAATAAGGCGTGAGATGTCAAAAAATGTCATAGTATGGTAAGGCATAAAAACTAAAAAAAAAGGTCATAGTATAGTACGGCATACAACGTCATAGTATAGTGAGGCATAAAAATGTCCAAAAACGTCATAGTATAGTAAGGCATAAAACGTCATAGTACATTAAGGCATAAAAACGTCATAGTATAGCAAGGCATAAAAATATCAAGACACGTCATAGTATAGTAAGGCATAAATATCTCAAAAAAACGTTATAGTTTAGTAAGGCATGAAAATGTAATAAAACGTCATAGTATATATAGTAAGGCATAAAAAGTCATAAAAACGACATAGTATAGTGAGGCATAAAAACGTCCTAGTATAATAATGCGTAAAAGTTTCAAAAAACATAGTATATTATGGCATAAAATGTCCAAAAAAGGTCATAGTATAGTAAGGCATAAAAATGTCAAAAATCGTCATAGTATAGTGAGGCATAAAAATGTCCTAGTATAATAATGCGTAAAAGTTTCAAAAAACATAGTATATTATGGCATAAAATGTCCAAAAAAGGTCATAGTATAGTAAGGCATAAAAATGTCAAAAATCGTCATAGTATAGTGAGGCATAAAAATGTCCTAGTATAATAATGCGTAAAAGTTTCAAAAAACATAGTATATTATGGCATAAAATGTCCAAAAAAGGTCATAGTATAGTAAGGCATAAAAATGTCAAAAATCGTCATAGTATAGTGAGGCATAAAAATGTCCTAGTATAATAATGCGTAAAAGTTTCAAAAAACATAGTATATTATGGCATAAAATGTCCAAAAAAGGTCATAGTATAGTAAGGCATAAAAATGTCAAAAATCGTCATAGTATAGTGAGGCATAAAAATGTCCTAGTATAATAATGCGTAAAAGTTTCAAAAAACATAGTATAGTAAGGCATAAAGCACCATAGTATAGTAAGGCATAAAAACGTCATAGTATAGCAAGGCATAAAAATGTCAAAAAAACTGCATAATATTGAGGGCATAAAAATGTCAAAAAAACGTCATAGTACAGAAGGGCATAAAAACAACATAGTATAATAATGTCACAGAAATATCGACCCCTCCACCCAGGCACAAGGTGTCCCTGTTTCTTTCTTTGTTTCCCTTCTCAGGTGTTGGATGCCAAGTATCAGGATCAGCCTGATGTGCTACACCTGGGCACATTATAAAAGCCATCCCATTCAGTCATGTCGCTCTCTCTGGCTGTGCTCTCTGTTTGTGCTCTAGCTGTCGGTGTCGTCGCTGATCCTGCTTTCCCAGCAGACCTGATGGCAGCTGTGGCCTTTCTTTTGTTTCTTGGTTTTTAGTAATTTCTCATCATGAATCTCATTTTGCTTTTCTTGTAAATAAATAGTTCAAACTTTATATGCAAACTCGTGTTGTCTCCTCTTACTGGTTGTCCAGCTGTTGAGCAAAGTTCTAAAGAAAGTAAGGCATAAAAACGTCAAAAAAAAGTCATAGCATAATGAGGCATAAAACATCATAGTATAGTAAGGCATAAAAATGTCATTAAACATCATACTATAGTGAGGCATAAAAAAATCATAAAACGT